GGGAGATGGAGGTTTGGGGAGATGGCGGTTTGGGGGAGATGCCGGTTAAGGGAGATGGCGGTTTGGGGGAGAAGAAGAAGTAAAATCACAGGCAGCACCTTCCCGGGAGCATGCCGCACAGATCTGTCCGGGCCGGCTCTAAGCCGTGTGAATGAGGCCTAATAGCGCGACCGAAGCTGCATCCAGCGACTTGATAGGTTACACTAAATGTCTGGAACGGGAAGGGGCGGGACAAATGTAGATGAGGGAGGGGCAAGTTTCGTCTTGCCTAAGGCAGCACGACACCTAAATACACCGCTGATTGTATGCAAGGCTTCCCGACATGGACTAGTGTGTATCGGGAGCCACACACGGGGGGACCTTGGTTTGTGGCCCCTCATAAGGACTCCCCCATAGATCTGAGTGTGGTGCTGAGAGAAGACGGAAGACCCGAGTATTGTTAAATTATTATTTATTATTACTACATCTCAATATACGTCATACACATCGCCACGGCAACAGACCATCCCACAGACCCCTCCTCCCCTCAGACTGTCTGACCCTAGGACCAGGCGGGGCCTTTGCTCCAAATTCAGATCAAACTCCGCCCCTGTAGGAGGTACCATCATGCAATTGTCCATGTAGTCGGGGGGAAGGCATTGTATACGGTGGGCGCAGAAGGTCCAGGAACTTCCCGGCACCACCAATACCATCAGGTTTTACAGGAACTGCCCCATATGGGGTATTTGTGCCGCCACTTCCTGAGGAAACTGAGGTCATCCCAACTGCTGAACCAACCAAGATCTTCTACTTCCCACAAGAGACCCGAGTACTCCAAACTTCCTGAGAGTACTGAGATCCCCAACATCCTGAGAGTACTGAGATCCCCAACATCCTGAGATCCCTCAACATCCTGAGATCCCCAACTTCCTGAGAGTACTGAGATCCCCAACATCCTGAGATCCCTCAACTTCCTGAGATCCCTGACTTCCTGAGAGTACTGAGATCCCCAACATCCTGAGAGTACTGAGATCCCCAACATCCTGAGAGTACTGAGATCCCCAACATCCCGAGAGTACTGAGATCCCCAACATCCCGAGAGTACTGAGATCCCCAACATCCCGAGAGTACTGAGATCCCCAACATCCTGAGAGTACTGAGATCCCCAACATCCCGAGAGTACTGAGATCCCCAACATCCTGAGAGAAGTGGAGTCCTCCCGGTGCTGCTGCCCCTCAGAGATCCGGGTGTCACATTCATTGATGGATGTTGCGTTGAATTGTCCTCATTCTGCTGCCTCATCCCCCCAACATGGAACATTCTAGAAGAAGTCTCGCAGCTCCTCTAAAGCTGAGTGTCCTCTTCCCCCGGAGACAGTCCTCCGGCTCCTCCTCCTCCCACATGGTTTGATGTCATCCTCCTGCGTCTGCTGAGGAGAGTTAAAGTTCTGCGTCCGATCCGCGAGGCCCGGGAGAGGGTGACATGGATGCAATGCGTGTCGTGTGTAATGGAGACGTCGGAGAAGAAGCCCGCCCCTCCTCGGCATGGAGGACCCGCGTCTGCCCCTTCCAAGTCATGGAGGACCCCCAGAATCTGCTGCCGCTCACTGGGGTCCCACAAGCCCCGGACATCCAGGAGGGAGGACAGATGACGTTTCCTGAAAGATAGGAGAGGAGGGTGAAGGCGTTCCCGGGAGACGGAACTGACCCCGCCCACTGCGCACACAATAAAACTTTACACGTCGCTGAAGTGTGAGGTCACCGAGCCACAGGAAGGACGTCCTGGAGGAGGGCAACCAAACTCATTAAGGGGCTGGAGGACCTAAGCAATGAGACAAGGAGGAGGGGCTGGAGGGCCTAAGCTATGAGACAAGGAGGAGGGGCTGGAGGACCTAAGCAATGAGACAAGGAGCAGGGGCTGGAGGACCTGAGCTATGAGACAAGGGTCACACTGGAAGTGAGGAAATGAAGGGGGGAGGGGACAATGTTGGGTGGAGATGAGGGGGGAGGGGATATCACCAGCTTGCTGAAGATCTGAGTCAGTTGGCGGTTCTCCTCCCGCAGTTTGGTGGCCGTCCTCTTCCTGGTCCTGGAGGCCGTGCAGGACATCTTGCCCTGGATTAGAGGCCGCACATACTCCAGGAGGACGCGGCGGTGGAGCTCGGACACAGTGGCCTGTGGAGGGATAAGGGGCGGAGTTTATTCCTTGTCATGTTTCTATGACATCAGAAGGGCCAATGAGGAGTCTCCGTACCTGGTAGGGCCCCGGGCTCAGCCTACGAAGAGTGAGCGCGCATTCCGTCAGGCCGGACACAATCCCATCACAGGCCTCCGAGGAACCCAGCCAGCGGCGGCCCAGGAGCTTC